CGCGAATCGGGTTAAGCTGCGGGTTTGGGGCAACGTCGCTGGACTGGCCAAACACTCAATCAATAAATTATGCTGCCACCAAATATACAAATCGGCGACCGGCAAAACGGGGCAACAACGAACCAGAAAGAGCCACAGCGGTTGAGTGGTTGCAGTGGTCCGTGGATCTGTGGGGTCCGTTTGGCTTGTTTGGCTGGTCACGCGGCAACCAAACGAGCTGTGAGCGTCAGCTGCAAAACAAAGGGCATGCCCCAAGCTGCAAGCTGCGGCGCACAGACGAATGTGGCTTTGTGGACGCCGCCAGGCTGCCGCACTTTTCCGCTACCGCAAATGCCGTTAGTCATTTTAAAAAGTGCTACGCTGACGTTGTTCCTGGCTAAGGACACGGCCGGGCGTCAGGCAGCAATGACAATGTCATGTGCGCAGCACTTTGTGAAAATGTGGCCAGCAGCAGTGGACCAGTGGACCGGTTGCTACTGCTGCTGCTGCTGCAGGCTGGAGTCGGATGCTGTTGTTCCTATGTCAACGCCAAAGACAAAGGCGCACTGCGACCAAATGTCAAAATGGCTGCAAGGCGTCTGGGCAACGGCTGCGCCAGTTGCGGCTCCTGCGGCCGCTCCCAGCTGATGTTGCTGCTCACCATGACCCCAAGTTGACCTCGAGCATACGAGCCGCTGTGGAACGCGACAAGCGAATCGATTTTTTCAGCCCACGCAGACAAGCAAACAAACGTTAAAAAACGATTTGCATGCAGGTGCCCCTGCTGACATTTAAAATTTGTATATAAAATATTGATCAGTATTGACGACTGCAAAAATGACGAGTCCGTGCGCCTGCAGGAAAGCCAGACACAATGTCAACTGTGTGTGCGAGCGTTGTGTTAATTGTGCTGCGTCGGACAAAAGTTCTCTTTTATCGCTAACCGCAACGCTTTAAAGTATAAAAGCTTATATTATTGCTATTTTCAGCCTGTTTGCTGTATGCAGAGTCCGATTCTGAGCGCTCCAGCTGAGGCATCATTAATAACTGAGCCGGGCCACCTTTGGGCCAGCGCATGAAACTTTGCCCAGTAGCTTGATCGATATTTGTAATCTCACTTTACATTTGCGCACAACTACGCACATGAACGCACCTGCCCACCCACCCACACACACACCCACACACAGAGCAACACCAACACACACTCTTAAAAGTCTTGTCGAGCTTCATTGTCTCTGCTGTGCGTTGTCCGTGTCCATGCGGTCCAACTAAGCGGAAGCTGTTGGAATTTACCAACGTTTAAACTTTAATGCTGTGTACAAGAGTACTTTTTATTGTTGTCCTGCTTTGTTTTTTTTCCTCTTTCACTTTTTGTTGTCATTCTCTTTACCTATTCTACCACCTACGTCCCTTGCCTTGGTGGGCTTTAGATTTTTTGTGCTGCATGTCCTCTGCCTGGCTGCCCGCTCCAATTGAACCTAATCCGGCTGCTAAAGTATTAGCTACGTAGTTGTATGCTCATCCCGGCTGTCCAAACTGCCTTATGCTGCTTTTGTTGTTTGCTGGCATTTAAAAAACAAAAAGAATCGAGTCACTCCAGCCGGAGGTAGCCAACAGCGCACCAACTATGGCCAGCTGGAGGTCTGTAAAAACTTTTGCCTCTGTCTGAGCATCTGCAGTTGTAGTTGTAGTTGTAGCTGTAACTGTCCCCTCACTTAATAACAAGGCGACAGTCGCTGTATGTGTATGTCACCCTGTCGGCTGCAGAAAATGAACGACAGTTGCCTGGCCCTTGCAAGCGACGAGCATACTAATCTGTCGCCTCCTGCCTCCCGTGGTCGCCGTCATCGTCATGTTTTCCGCCCGGCACGTAAATGAAGTAAATGAGCAAGAACTCCGAACTCCGATCATTATGTTTGGCAATGAGGCGCTTCTAGGAGTTCTCGGCTTTTGCTTTGTTATATAACTATATATATATATATAAATTTGTGGAAATATATATCTTTTATATATGTCTGTGGAGCAAACAACTCATCTGTGGAGACATTCGTGACAGTCGATATCAATGAATGCCACTCAGCGACTACTAAAAAATTAAAACACTATGCGACTGATCCGATCTGACATGATATGATGGAAAGTGTCAGGTGAGCGCGCTTAGGTTTACACACCCGTCAACATGGCGTATGATTGATATTCTAGTCATAAAGCAAGCAGGTCAGGCAAAGGCAACTGTAAACTGAACGTGACCAGATAAATGCGACAAATATTAAACGAAGATAATAATAAAAGTTATAAATCTTAGCATTGCCTGTCGCCGCTCCGGATGAGAATCAGTTGAAGCATGAGAGGATGTGGGCATTCAGAAAAGGGCACAGAAGGCGACGACGAGGACATGCTGCATCGTGGCGATAATAACAATTTATTGCACGCACACAAACAACCCCAAACATAAGTACACACACATACACACAGACACACACATGTGTGCCGTTGCCAAGTGCCGGAAAATGCCGCGAGACACAACTGCAACAAGAACAACAGCCACAAAAGCAGACAGCGCACACCAAAGCAGTGGGAGCTGGGCAGACGGGCATAAAAGCCACACAATAATAAAAATGAACAATGACAGGTTAATAGCAAATAAATGAAAGCCCATAAGAAAAGCGCAGCAGCAGGAAAAGAAGAGGAAATCAACAGAGAGAGACAGACAGACAGACAGAGTGAGAGGGAGAATGGTTGAACGTTGAGCAGAGACTGCATCAAGTTGCTTCAGCAAACTTATTCTCTTAGTGTAGGCAATTGATATATGGTTTTCAATTTTCAAAACCATTGACCGCCTGCAACAACAACGAGCTAAATGGTGGAAAAATGTGTGTGCAGAATGGCAACGAGGTGCCACAAGTGGATGCTGGCATATTTAAAGCATAACTACGCGCATAAGCGACTCGTTAGGGTCGAGTGTGGACGGTGCTTAACAGCTTCAATAACGACAACGACTTGGCACCGACCTGGGCTAGCTCATCTGCAATCAGGTTGACAAAATGCATGTGGCATGCAATGGCAAATGCCCTGAGGGCCCTGAATAATTATCATCATCATCATTAGCACGAGGCAGGTTGCAGGTTGCAGGTTGCCATGCAGATAGGTGGACCCAATAAGCAATTTGTGATTGAGAGATTGAGTATGATGTGTATCTGAAGAGGATTTGCGCGTTAATTTATTTCAATTCAGCTGGTTTTGGCATTCAAATAAACTTGAAACTCTCTGCATATAATATAAATTTATTGAGTTTGAAATTTAATGTGAAATAAACAAAGCGATATAGACACAATAGATATTCATTTGCATAGGCAATAAATTCAAATTTATGCGCATTAAAAATATTTTGCATTTATTTGACTTTTTATTATTATTTTTCAAATGAGCTAAATTATTTAGGTGTCGAATGGAGGCTGCGGGCAAATTAAAGCTTGCGCAGCTTTAAACTGGCAGAGAGAAAGAGTCGAAAATCGATCACCTGCTTAAAGTGCAGACGCCCACGAGACGGACACAGCCGGAAAGGAGCGACAGCACCAACAATGGCGGCTACTTGGCAGCTGTGCCAACGCCTGGGCGAACGCATCTGTCAACGTCCTTAGAGTTTAACAAAGAAGGACACTGCGAGTGCACATAGGGAGAGCCAGACACCGGGCCACTTTATAAGCCAAATTTAACGCTTGCTCGTTGTTACTGTGGCTGCTGCTGTTGCTGTTGCTGCTGCCGTTTGCAATGCGCCTTTGTCTGTTTGCTTTGGAGAAGGACAAGCATGACGACAACTGCCGCTGCTTACAGTTGCCCGCCCCCTTGCGTCTCACTCACTTTTTGGCAATTCGCTTCAGTATCTTACAACGAATTCAATTGAAAATTTTAGCAGACACTCGACGGGCAACGAGCGTTGCAAATTTCAAAACAAATTTGCCGCAACGCAACAGCAGCAAACTTTTCACAGAGAAGTTGAAACTTTGATTCGATTCGATTCGATTCTCTTCGATTTTCAATTCGCAGTGCTCTGCCCACTCGCTCGCCTCGTCTGGCCCATCAGCTGGTCAAGTGAGGACGTGCGTTTAAATGTTACGTATGCGTCACGTTGTCCAATGCACTTCAGCTCGGCACAATTGGCAGCGTCTCGTCTAGATCTTGGTCCTCGTCTCCAACTCTGTCTGGCTCCGTCTATGTCTGTCTGCGGGGTTCAGTGTTCAGCTGTTTGCTTAGTGCAGTTTTCACTTTGTGGGCGTTACACAAAAAAATAACAAACAGCCGCACCTCCTGCCTCGGCCCAGGACTCAGGCTGACTTTCTTCTGCTATTTACTTTTGCCTTCCACACAGCCAGACTTGACGTAAGTTTTGTTTGCTTGCCTGTGTGTGCGTGCGCATGTGAGTCTGTGTGTGAGTCTGTGTGTGAGTGTGTGTGTGTGTGTGTGTTTGTGTGTTTGCCTTTCGTTTAGCAGTGGCTATGACAAAATCAAAACAAATCGCCGAACCAAAGCCAAAGTGGAAATTGTCAATAATTTCAAATTGATTTCTATTTGATTTAACACAACAACAGCAAAGACAACGACAACGACAACAATTGAAAGTAAACACCTAGCAATGGGCACTATAATTGCACCAACACATATAAAATAAAAATACCTATTTCAGTTTAGCTTAGTGAAAGTGAAACAGAAACTTTGATGGACGGACGCACGCGGCAGCCCAAATAGCATTAGACAGCTAGCCATTATGGGCTTGGCCAAGTTTTACGACGCATCATAAAAGCATTACTCGAACTGCGCCTGTCTCGTAAAGCTCGTGAAATTCCTGAGCTGGCAGCTCCAATAAAGGCAAATCGATAAGTGAGCCCAAAGTGTTGGAATCGCTCGTAAAGTAATCGAAATGGGGCAAAGGGCAATCGAGCCGCTATACTTAATGTACTTAGGAATTATACTCTAATTGTGTTTATAATTCTTATTCTATTCATAGCAAAAGTAATTCTTACCCTGCTTGGGCGACACGCTAAGCACCTGCTGCGGCGACTGTTGCTGCGAGTGAATTTGGTATTGTTGCTGTTGCTGTTGCTGCTGCTGCTGCTGGTGCTGCTGCTGTTGCACGGCCACCGCCTGCTGCTGGGCGGCACAGACTGCAGCAGCGACGGCTGCTTGCTGCTGCTGCTGATGATGAGCGGCTGCAGCGGCAGCTGCTGCGGCTGCTGCGACTGCTTGCTGCTGCGACTGCTGCTGATGCGGCGATTGGGACTGCGGATGCTGCTGCTGCTGAGTCGTAACAATGGACATTTGCTGAGACGATTGCTGCTGCTTAACATTGACCTGATGCTGGGCCTGCTGTTGCTGCTGTGCCGGAGCTTGTTGCTGCTGCTGCTGCAGATGCGTCTGGTGTATGGCCAGCAGCTTCGTCTCGTACGGCTTGGCGCCAACCGACAGCGGCTGACTGCTGAGCGTCATCTGTGCTGTTGCTGGCATCATTAGCGTGGGCATTGCCAACATTTTTTCGAGTGCTTCTTTTGCTGTTGCTGCTGCTGCCGATACTGTTTGTTGTTTCTGTTGCTGGTGTTGCTGCTGTTGCACGTTTTGCGGTTTCACGCAATTCGCTTTGATGTTTAATGAAGTGCCGCCTCACAGTTGATGTGTATCATCAAATCGTGTTAAAATTTTACTAAATAATTTTCGGAGCTCACTTTTTTATATTTATATTTATCTTGTTTTGTTGCTTGTTTTTTGTGCTTGTTTTTTTTACTTTTTTCTGCTTGTTTATTTATATATATTCGTGTTTGTGTGAAACCGCACTTTTAATTGCCGTTGTTGTAGGTTGCTTGTTTGCTTGTTCCTTTTTAATATTATACGGAAATCATTTGATGCGTTAAATGATTTCTACAATTTTACTAATTTCAAAAGTTTTCCTTTGCGGTTTATGCTCGCATTTATTTGCCGCCTCCCGTTTTGCTATTGCAGTTTTTTGCTATTCAAATTTGCCTTCCCTTCACTTATCACAGACCAACAAGATGTTTTTGCTTCGACCTTGGCTGATTTCAATAATACTTTTAAGCTTTAATATATATAAGTATATAAATATATAATTATATATACATACATACATATATTTAAATGTAGATAAAGTAAAGAAATATTTCACTTAAATTTAAAAATTATAGCCAAATAAAAATAATATTCTAAAAATTCATTAAACTTATATTTTTATATTTATTATATATAAGATTAATTAAAAAATAATAATTATTTTTGAATAATTTATATTTGAATAAATACATATATAAAACGTGCTTTTCTACTAAGCGTCCTTCAATAAATATTAAATTTGTGATTAAATATTTATTTAACTAATCTGATTATATGGGCCAGCTCTAACAACTGTTACAAATAACCCTTCTCGAGGAACCCATATTCGTGCTAAGCCATCTTTTTTTGGTAATTGCAGCTTTTATGATTCGGTTTTATGATGTTCCTCCTCAAGCACAAACATTACATTCTGGGGCGCTGGCATTATCGTATATCAAGCCTAAGCCATTCACACATCATTTGAAAAATTAAATTTAATATTTTACGATTTGCGGGTGAGCTCTGTGCATGTGTGTGTACACAAGGCAGAGCCTGAGCCAACAAAAAATAAAAATTATGCGAGCCAGAAACAAGAACAACAACAGCAAAATTATAACAATAATAATAAAAGGCAGCTGAATATGAGCGCTGCTTTTTATGCGAACGACGCGCGCCCAAGAGACAAGACAACAGAAGCCAAAAACGAGAAACCAGAAAGCCGAAAACAGAACACAGAACACAGAAAACACAAACTCTTCAAACTCCAAAAATCGCACGCCCCAAGTGTTGGCAAGTGTCAGGATCAGGCGCTGCCATAGCCAGCGCCTCGGTCGGCGTTAACGTCAGTCTAACGCTTCCGGTTTTTATAGCGGAACGCGCACAAAAGCCCCAGACAGTGGGACAGACTCGCAGGAGACGGACAAATGTTATGTATAAATATAAACTTATATTTTTATTTTTATTTTTGAAAGCCAAAAACACATACATAGCAGACGCAGTAAAAAGCAACGAGTGTATAACAAATGCTAACAGAAAAAAAACATGTACAATACACAGCATTCGTTGTCATCTAACTGAAATTTGTGTGTGTGTGTGTGAGTGTGTGTATGATTCATACACACAAATGCAGTGGCCTTTTTATATGGCCGCGCTGAGTCGGCGGCTTTCGGCGTTGGCTGGCTGAAAGCATTTATTGGCTGCTCGTTGTCGGTTTATGTGCCACATAAGCCGAAGTGGCAGAATGTGTACATGTGTCTGTGTCTGCATCAGTATGTGTGCACATTGTTGTTCTTGCTGCTGTACATAATGTGTCAAAAAAAAAAAAGAAAATACCGCACCAACAGCAGCAGCAGCAAAAGGCCACATACATGCAGACAAAAAGTCTTTGTGTTCCGTGTAAATAGTACTAAAATCGATGAGTACAAATGTTTTATTATTTTTTAGAAAATCGCATACAAAAAATCAAATACTTATATATGAAACTGCACAAATCACGTTCAAATATAGCTGTAAATATATATTATACTGTGTTCATTCACTACAATACACCACCACAAACTGTCAGCACTTTCCCCAAAAATTATGCTACAAAAATTAATTTCACTTTTCAACTGATAAGAAGAAGAAACACAAAATATTTGAAACTTAAAATAAAAATCTTTGCAAATGAAAATTATTTAAGCTTTAGATTTTTGAAACCAACGCATAAAACTAAATAATCATTAAAATTATTTTTTGTTTTCTAACTTTTTCCAGTTTGTTTCTATTTTTAATTATCTTTCTTTAAGTTGTTTAATATTTTGTTTTGCGGTCGCCTTTGCTGTTTGTTTTATCGCGTAGTGCACTGCGTTTTGAGTTTCTATTTTGATTTTTGTGTTTTATTTTGTTGCCTTTGCTTTGTGTTTGAATTTCCGTGTTCAAGTTGTTGCGTTCATAGATGGGTGTTTTTTTGGTTTTGGTTTTGGTTTGTTTGTTGGTTTGTTTGGAAATTATAATAACAACTTAACAACAATGTAACGAATATCCTTTCTTTACGAGGACACAATTCAAACTGATTGCGAAGCGCGCTCGTCGTCCTCCCAAATAGTCAAAGACATGGTCCGCCGTGGCATACCGTTATTCTGCCGGCGTCGCTGTCGCGCTGCCTTCGCTCCGAATCTTGCACGCACACGAATCGCCTGCCAATCGTCCTGGCCAACTTCGTGGCACAGTTCGCTCAGGCCTGCGCAAAGTCATATTTCGAAATGGTTTGTGCCTTAGCTAAACTCGTTTTATAGCACATTCAGCCGGAAAATTTCCCATTGTAAGTCGCGTTGCGTTTAAGGAACTGCCAGCTGTTATATGCGCGCCGTGATGCAGATTCTTTACAGAGTTGCGCTCTTAAGAGGATTTCGCACAAAGGACTTATGTTGCAGCATTGTTCCATAGAAACGCGCACCTTAGACCTGCTGCAACAAAGACCATGAGCAGCTTTGCGGCAACAGCAGCATTGACATCAGCAATAATAATGCCAAATGTTAAGTATATTATGGGCAAACAAACAACTTTTACACGCGCAGGCAGACAGTTGTGCAGTTACTCACACACACACACACACACACACACACATAGTATATACTATTGTTTATGCGCCAAAGAGCCAATAATCCACTTTTGTTTTGTTATCATTCGCGCGCCCTTATCCAAACGCCTTATACCACTCGAGCACCCGAGCTCCGATCACCCATCCACCAGACCACCAGGCCACCCCAACACGCTAAACGCCTTCGCCACTGCGTTCACCCGTCTCCACTTAATTTCTACTTGATTTGTCGCTTAAGAAAACTAATTGTCTGCCTTTTGTTGAGCGTGAAAACAATAGAAAACATTTTAGCAACTGTTACTTTAGCCGAAAGCGTATTAGAAACATGGCCATGGCGGTGGCTGGGTGGAGGCGAGCTAAGCACGCAGCAATGCTGTGGCTTAGGCAAGGAAAGTGGCTGCCGGCTTTAATGGTTTCGGTCGCTTTGGTCATGGCTAGAAGCTGATGGCATTCGTTTCATGTCTCACAGCTGGCCTACAACGTCTTCAAGGTCGTTTGCTTTAAGCGGAAATGCAAATGTATTTTTAGTGCCAAAATAGTGTCAGAAAAAACACGCAAAGTCCTTGAATCTAATTGCCTCGCTTCACAGCACTTCTTTGATCTTTCGATACTCCAAGCAAACTGGCATCGGGCTACTTGCATTGAGTGCATTGCTAAAAAGTACGTTTTAATTTATTTTTCATTTAACAATTAAAACAGTGCCGCAGCTGCGAGCGCGACTCACACGGAAATAAAGTTCGCTTTGCATATTCATGCTCAAGCAACACAAACAATCCAAATGTTGCCAAAGTTTGCAAGCCATGTTGATTTCACAGCCAACAACTAACAGGCAACAATCAGAAACTAACAATTGCAACGCCAAACACCTCCGATTGCGTTTTGAATTTCAAAATACACTTGAAACTCAAATATTAACAAAAACTACTCACACTGAAAACTCTAGTGGAACAAAAATTGTATTTGGAATATTTTGACGTATTAAATGAAAAATTAAATTCAATAATGAAAGTATGGCACACAACAAACAGGCAAATTATTAGACAAATAATTTTCAACTGTCGTCAATATCATAGCGAAGGCATGTCTACGATTCCATAACGAAATATTGAATATATATTCATTTTTAATATATTTTAATAGTATTTTATTATTTATTATTAGTCACTAATAACTAATCAATACTATAGTGCTTAAAAAGTTGCTTATAATATGAGTTAATTTTACGTATTTATTCGAGAGCAGTCAGATTAGTTTTCCTGATTGCTGCGAACCAGTTTGTTTCAAGAGCGTAAATTTATTTTGATGATATTTACATACTTTCCATCTCTCTGTTAAAAATAGAACGAGTACATATTTTGAAATCCTACATATGTATAATTTAAGTTGTTAAGTTTATAGCATGAATACCCAATCTGCTAGAACATATGAGCCATACAAAGACCTTTAAAATGAGAATATTTGTTGTAGATTTTTGGTGTCTTAATCTTCCACAAACTTCGATCATTCTTATTAAGCTCTAAAGTAATTTATTTCAATACATTGACGCACGCAGTGTGCCTTCAAATATTTCAAGCTAAAAGACATATATTGTATCAGAAGTGTCGGTCCCAGCAATAGATAGCCCTGCTTTGTATGATTTTTATATTTGTGAAGGGAGCGATGTTGTTCCGTTCCATTTTCTCTCTATTCTTTAAAACAATCGGTAGCTCGACAAAAAATATGGCCCAGCCAAAATATTGGCCAGTTATGCACCAGTTCACAGGCAAATATAGTCAGCGATATTATAAAACTCCAATTGTAGAATTAGGCAGTCTTAACTGCAATTGTAAGTTGCAATATGGTAATACTAAGACTGAGACACAACTAAGATAATACTAAAACTATAAAACTAAAAAATAAAGCGAAATTATTGGAAAACCATTCGGACTATATGGGAGATCTTTAACAGTCCGGCAAACTATGCCCCTGCTCACAGCTACGCCCTGTGTGGGGCATTCTCCTAAAATAATGAGAGCATATGTGTGTGAACATGGTTTTCTGTATACACGAAGTCTAGAGTGATCGGATTAATTCATGTTAAGCTCATATATAATTGTTTTTCCAACCTTCATATTTCAAAGAAAATGCAACATTAATACACTAGAAACAATTGACCAGACTTATTAAGAGAGTTGATGAAGGCAGGAATAAATTAAATGCATACGTCGAGTATGTTTGTTTATAGAGGTAAATAATATTTTCACTACTTGCCTGTGCGGCTTTCATTACCCAGTTAAGTGCTGCTGAGATAAGGATGTTATCGAGTTGCATTCGCTGTTGATATTAACCGGGCTTTAACGGAGCCCGTGTACATTTGTATTTAAATGCAAATGTCCTCGAAGCTCGACAATAACGATATCAACAAAACGATATACATATTACCTACTTTGCACACATACAAACTAACACACATGCCATACACACACACACACACACATACACACACAGTGTTAGCCGTGAGGCAAAGGACTCACGTGAGCGATTAAAATCTGAAGTAAAGTATTTGTGTTTTACTTTTTTCGCTGCTTTTGCTGCTGCAACAACGAGGGTTGTTGCCGCCAGCTGAGGTGTAAATGAGCAGAGCTGAGCTGGGCAGAGCGACGCGACGCGACGCTGTGCTGAAAGGGTTGCCCGGCAGCGACGCGGGCAACGACAGCGGCGTGTAATTGGAGGCGAGTGTCGTGTAAAATGTAAAACTTGCGCCGTAAATAAATCAAAACTTTCTGACTGAACAAACATTCAGGTGAGCGAAAAAATGCAGCATGCGACGGCAACAGCCGCCAGCTTTAGCTTGAGCTTCAGCTACAGCTACAAATCCGAATGCGGGCCTGAGGTGGTTGGGGCGGGCAAGCAGCGCACAGTTACATATTGACAAGTACGCCCGTACGGGAAGGTGTGCACCTGAAAACCGGTACACGAACGAGGCCATTGCTAAAAATTGGAACAGCTGTTGCCGTTGGGCCTGAGAGGCAAAGCTCTTCACCTGCAGCCGACTGAGCAGTTGACGTCGCAGTTGACAGCAGTTTTAATTTTTTATTTATCGCACAACGTCAAGCTTAAATGTTGAGTAAAATAACGCTCTATCTCAACACGAAAGTACAATCATTCACAGTGAAATAAGTCTGTCTGAAACTCAATCTTACCTATTGATTCATGGCATAATATGCTAAAGAGCTTGATACTCGCTATGAAGTTTATTTCTAAGCGAAATGTAAATGGATCATTAATACTGCAGACTGCACAACTACTTTAATATATCTATAAAAAGCATGAAAGAAAGTTGCTTGAAAAACTTTTGCGAATATCTTTGGCCAGAAAAAAGTCGCATTTGTTGTGCTAGCAATAATAAAATCATAAAAATAATATTATATATAAACAGTTGCATAAAAGAGATCTTAAAACCATTTGCAGGCTTCCTCTGCTGCCTCCGTTTCAAGCCAAACTTTCTGAGGTAAAAAAAACTCTTGACTAGGCTGACTCGTTTGCTTTATACCCAGTACATAGCACTGTTCAAGGCTGGAGTAATATCAAAACTGTGGCTAGAATATGATTCAAGTGTTACTCAAGACTGCGAAAAATGTTAACTAGAGTTGGTGAATGCTTTTGGAATATGTATTTAGGTTTTTGAAGGTTTCTCAAATAAATTTTCTCGCTTTAGATGAAGCACCTCCATTTGCTTGACCGATTATCAGAGAGTGTCTTCAAGTCACGCATCTGAAATATGAATGAAAAGTTTTTCATATTTTTTTTTCGCTATGGCTCCTGCCATAAATATATTAAGCCGGAAAACTTTGCCCATTGCTAGTAGATGCTCAGCTGGCGAGCAGGCCGCTTAGAGCGGGAGAATTGATGAGCGGAGTTTAACTTAATTGTATGTGGGCATCTCAATGCGGATGCGTGGCATGCTGATTGCGTCAAGATAGCGTTTCAATTTGCGCCGCGATAAGGCAACGAGACATAAAAGTAAATTGAAATACCTGTCGTTCGCATCAACGTCAACTGGCCAGCTGACTATCACAGGTCGGTCGTCTGGAACTGAACCAGAATCAGAATCCGAAGCTCATGCTGACAGGGGGCCTGGCGTGGTGGGTCGGATACTGCATTGCCCGTGGACCTTGTCACGCACGTGCAGATGGCAGAGTTTCAAAAATTTTTA